AGGGTTTGGGGTTTAGGGCTTAATCAGAGACTGGGGATTCAAGGCTTTCAAGGCTTTAGGAGTGGGCTATTAATGGTTTAGAAATGGACGATTAAGGGCTTGGGATATAAGGATTTTAAGGATTTAGGAATGGGCCGTTGATGGTTAGGAATGGGCGATTTAGGGTTTAGGAAGTGGCCATTTAGAGCTCGGGCGTGGTTTAGGAAGGGACTATTCAGGGCTTAAGGTTTTAGGATATTGAAGGTTAACGAATAGGCTATGAGGGGCGTAGAACTTAGGGCTATGAAAGGTTTAGGAATGGGCTTTAAACGGTTCGGGTGCGGCTATTAAGCGTTTAGGATTTTGCGTTTACGGCTTAGGGTTTAAAGCTTATCCCTTCCCCCTCATATTAAACGATGTCCCCCCTCCCCCGTGATAAGAAGTAATCCGGGCCCCGAAAAATGATCCAACATCACGGGGGCTATTTGTTGCAAGAATTAGATGGGACTGCCTCTGAAGTCCTTTGAAACTCCATGAAGAGTTTTTTTAACTACTTTAATAACTAGGTAACTAACTGGTTAAGTCAACCGAATAAGTATTCCAGAAACGCACCCAGATTTATTATTAGGAGGTTACTTTTAAAATTTGTCTTGCCCTTTAAGTGCTCTTCCGTATCTTGACGCCCCTGAATTTAGATTACACATGTAGGGTCGAGGGTTCAACGCTAAAGGTTAGGGTTTGAACCTAAACCCTAAACCCCCAAGCCCTTTCCGCAGAGGTTTTTTTGAAGGCTCATGACAGTGCAGATCTTGCCTTTCCGAAATGCAGAGGCATTCCGAAACGGCCTCCTAAATGCAGAAATGGTTTCCAAACCTTTATCATGGCCTTTGGGAAGCAAGGCAGCCCCGTGAGAGGAAAGCGCGAAGCCTGAACCCTATAAAACTTCTATGGACCCTAAACCCTTAAACCCCATGAGAGGCTAGGGGCTTCTGGTTCACGAGGTCCATGATCTCCAGCCAGCAATTGCACAATGACGGAGCAAGGATCCCCTACATTTCAAGGTTCAGGGTGTCAGGGTTTAGGGCTGAGGGGTTTTAGGGCTTAGGGTTTAGGGGTTTAGGGTTGAGGGGTTTTACGGCTTAGGGTTCAGGGGTTTAGGGTTGAGGGGTTTGGGAGTTTAGGGTTGTAATCACAGTCCCTGTAGCAGCATCCGAGCACTTCTCCGAGTAAGGAAATCATCCCTTTTGAAACGGTTGTGTCTCAGGGGTTTAGGGTTTAGGGTGTTTAGCTACATTGAACCCATCCCATCATGCTACTGATCAAGACCCCATGCAATCAAAATCAACTATTCCACACAGAAGACCTCATATGTTGAGAATGTATATTCAACATTAGGGGTGTGGGGGGGGCTCAGTATCAATATGAACCCGCAACCCTAAACCCACAACCCGGAAACCCATCGGAAAAAATTGGGTCGCCGGACATTGGGCACGGGCGTGCTGCGTGGCTTCAGGTTTAGCCGCGGCCTCTCCACAGGGGCGCAACGTTCTAAATATTCATCAAATTATTGTATACATGCATATATGTACATACATATGGGTAGATACGCATATATCTGTAAAAATGCACAGATATATCTGTATATATGTATACATATATCCATATGCACAGAAATCCATATATGCATACATACATATGTACACGTACAAAGATACAGGTATACATGTATACGTACAGACAGGTACATCAATTTGTTCGCACGGGTGTATATATATATATGTATATATCTATATAAATATGTGTATATATATATGTATATATATACATACATATATATGTATATGTATATACCTACCTGTCAGTTTCTGCATCATAGACATACACTTACATGTACATATACACATACATGCATGCATGCCTGCCTACCTACCTACCTACCTACCCACCTACCTATGCGCAAGTATATGTAGCGTATAGGTATTTATATACATTCATGTGTATATATATATATACACATGTATGCATATCTGTGTGTATATACATATACAAACACATCTACATATAAGCATAAGTCTCTGTGCTTGTATTTACATATAAACATAACTATCTGTCCATTTCTCTCTCTCTCTGGCTGCAAGTGAAAGTAGTACCCCAGACAGCGAGTATCCATCACTGAGACAGGCGTTCTTCAATGCTTCAAGAGGACTTCAACCGGAACCGAGCCAGCAACAAATGAAGCAAGACTGCACACCCTAACACCCTGGACCCCAAACCCCTCAGTCAAACCTACACGCTGAATCCAGAATCTTCAAACCCTGAAACCTAAACCCCACGCTCTATATATACCCCCAAATGAACATGAAACCCCATATGAGGCACCTGTTGACGCACAGTCTTTTGTAGGGCCTCTTGAGGTTTTCATGGTTGTTCACGGAACTAAACCGTAAACCCTTAACCAATAATTTTGGCCCTCAGCGCCGTCCTCTCTGAGGGTCCGGAATCTGCTGGGCGGTCAGACCGCGTGCGCCAGTCGCCTAGTAAGAAGGTAGAGTTTAGGAAGTAAGGTGCAGGGGGCTTAGGGTTAGAAGCTAAGGTGTAGGGAATTAGGGTTAGGAGCGAAGGTGTAGGGGCTTAGGGTTGAAGGAGTAGAGGCTCAAGGGTTTGGGGTGCTGCGATGAACGTTTAGGTTTCAAGGCCTAGAGGTTTAGGGTTTCGGGCTTGGGCTTCGAGGATTCAGGGAGCTGCGACCCTGGGGTCTGCACCCTAGACCCTAAACCCTAAACCCTCAAACGTGCAATCCTTTGGGGGTGGAGTCTGCTCACGGGGATTAAGTTCTTGCGAGATAGGGTCCCTAAACCCTAAACCGAAGCAGTTTAGGATTTAGGGAGCTCCCGGATTTCCAAAAACAAATACATGTTGAGCCTATGGTACTAATCAATCGCAATAAAGACGTGGTCCCCAATATATAAATTCTTGTATAGGGAATATTGACTATGAGGCGTGGGGGTAATTTAATGTTAGAATCTGTTGGTGAGGAGTTATGCCTACCACCATTTGTTCATAGCAATGTGGCAAGTTGTTTGGCTCAGCAGAATACCGGGTAGCTGAAGGAAGGTAAATCTGCAAAAGCAAGCAGCAAAAACAAACGAATGACACCCTTTTCAGCAGAATGCCAAACCGCTGAACGCTAAACCCCAGACCTCTGAACCCTACACCCCAAACCCCAAACCTCTAAACCCTAAACCCAAACCCCAAACCTCTAAACCCTAAACCCCAAAACCCAAACCCCAAACCTCTGCAATACAGGCTTTATGCTGGCCTTGGTCGGCTCGGCTGTTTCCTCCTCCACCTGCACATTCGATTGGGGGTCATCCGGTCTGAAATTCCTCCTGTCACCTAGGGTTTAGGGTTTAGGGTAGACAGACTCCCCCCAAACCAATAAAGCCGTACAGAACGGGGCGA